AGCAGGCGGGTCGGGCCAGCGCCTATGGGGCCTGAGCGCCGGCAGCGGCGGGTGCCGGGTGCGCCGGCACCTGGCGCGCACAGAGGCACAGGCCTGGGGGACGCCTGTGCCGGGCTGGCCTCTGCCCTTGCGGGTACACCCATGAACCCCCCGCGCCTTTCCTCCGTGCTCAGAGCCGTCGGCCAAGTCCCGGTGCACCCACGTTTGTCCGGTTGTTCGTACGCCTTCAGCGGGAAGGGCTCTGCCACTTTTGCAGTTTGCCCCAGCGATGTTTTCGTGCACGGCAAACCCGCTGCCCCAGTTGCTGTTTCACTGGCTCAGCTTCTTGGAAGGCCGGCTCCCCCCTCCTCCCCTGCCCCGAAACAGTGCCAGCTCGCGCTAATCTCCCCTGAACACGAACGATAAGAACCGTCGGCCCCATGGAGGGAACACGGCGTGGGCTGTCCCCCCAGCCGTGTGCGCCAGCTCTAGAAACTGCTGGAAGTGCTGCAGCCCTCCTCACCTTCCTCGCCTCCTCACCTTCCTCGCCTCCTCACCTTCCTCACCTCCTCACCTTCCTGACCCTCCTCATTTGGGGCACGCAGCCCCTTACAGACCACCACGGCCCTGCACACCCTCTGTCACCAGCAACGAGCTCCTGCCGCAGGCCAGGGCTTGCGTCAGCACCCAGCGCTGACCCCCATGGCTCTGCTGAGTGTCACCCAGTCCTGGGAGTCGGGGGCAGCCACCCCTCCACAGCACATAGGGGCCGTGCTGGATGGCAGTGGGTACAGGTGCAGTGTGCATGTGCAGGGGCAGTGTGTGCACAGGGGCCGTGCTGGATGGCAGTGTGCACAGGTGCAGTGTGTGTGTGCAGGGGCAGAGTGAGCATAGGGGCCGTGCTGGATGGCAGTGTGCACAGGTGCAGTGTGTGTGTGCAGGGGCAGAGTGAGCATAGGGGCCGTGCTGGATGGCAGTGTGCACAGGTGCAGTGTGTGTGTGCAGGGGCAGAGTGAGCATAGGGGCCGTGCTGGATGGCAGTGTGCACAGGTGCAGTGTGTGTGTGCAGGGGCAGAGTGAGCATAGGGGCCGTGCTGGATGGCAGTGTGCACAGGTGCAGTGTGTGTGTGCAGGGGCAGAGTGAGCATAGGGGCCGTGCTGGATGGCAGTGTGCACAGGTGCAGTGTGTGTGTGCAGGGGCAGAGTGAGCATAGGGGCCGTGCTGGATGGCAGTGTGCACAGGTGCAGTGTGTGTGTGCAGGGGCAGAGTGAGCATAGGGGCCGTGCTGGATGGCAGTGTGCACAGGTGCAGTGTGTGTGTGCAGGGGCAGAGTGAGCATAGGGGCCGTGCTGGATGGCAGTGTGCACAGGTGCAGTGTGTGTGTGCAGGGGCAGAGTGAGCATAGGGGCCGTGCTGGATGGCAGTGTGCACAGGTGCAGTGTGTGTGTGCAGGGGCAGAGTGAGCATAGGGGCCGTGCTGGATGGCAGTGTGCACAGGTGCAGTGTGTGTGTGCAGGGGCAGAGTGAGCATAGGGGCCGTGCTGGATGGCAGTGTGCACAGGTGCAGTGTGTGTGTGCAGGGGCAGAGTGAGCATAGGGGCCGTGCTGGATGGCAGTGTGCACAGGTGCAGTGTGTGTGTGCAGGGGCAGAGTGAGCATAGGGGCCGTGCTGGATGGCAGTGTGCACAGGTGCAGTGTGTGTGTGCAGGGGCAGAGTGAGCATAGGGGCCGTGCTGGATAGATGTGTGAACAGGTGCAGTGTGCGTGCAGGGTTTATGCTGGATGGCAGTGGGTACCGGTATAGTGTTTGTTTGTAGGGACAGTGTGTGCAAGGGATCTGTGCTGGATGGCAGTGTGTACAGGCACGGTGTGCATGTGCAGGGGCAGTGTGTCCATAGCGACAATGCTGGATGGCAGTGTGTAGAGGCGCGATGTGCGTATACAAGCACAGTGTGTGCATAGGGGCTGTGCTGGATGGCAGTGTATACAGACACAGCATGCATATGCAGTGGCAGAGTGTGCATAGGGTCCATGCTGGATGGCAGTGTGTACAGGCACAGGGTGTGTGTGCAGGGGCAGTGTGTCCATAGGGGCCGTGCTGAATGGCAGTGGGTACAGGTGCAGTGTGCACGTACAGGGGCAGTGTGCATGAAGGGACTATGCTGAATGGCAGTGGGTACAGGCGAAGCTGATGTTTACAGGGGCAGCTTGTGCACAGGGGCCGTGCTGGATGGCAGTGTGTACAGGCGTGGCGTGCGTGTGTAGGGACAGCATGCACAGGGGCCAGGCTGGATGGCAGTGTGTAGAGGAGCGGTGTGCGTGTGCAGGGACAGTCTGCGTGTGTACAGGCTGTGCTGGGGCAGCCTGTGTGTGCAGGGACGGTGCTCACCGGGCAGCGCGTGTGGCGCAGTGCGGGGCAGGTGCACTCCGGGGCACGCACTCACACCGCGCTGTCGCAGGTACAATCGCTCTCGGCTCGCTATTGCTGTCCCCGGCTGTCACCCCGGCTCTCCACCCCGGCACATCCCCGCTGCGCCAGAGCTGCCGGTGCCAGCGGGGACCCGCAGCCCGCACCAAGGCAGACCCTCACTCCCATCCTGACCCTACACCCGTGCGG